ATTCTTATTAATTCAGTCTACATTATTCTCAATCTAACCTAATACAACTTAAATCTTATTAATTCAGTCTACTTTATTCTCAATCTAACATAGTACAACTTAACTCTTATTAATTCAGCCTACTTTATTCTCAATCTAACATAATACAACTTAATTCTTATTAATTCCTACTTTATTCTCAATCTAACCTAATACAACTTAATTTCTGTTCTTAATTCAGCCTATGGCCAATTTTATAATCAATCTTACTTAATCCAGCTTAATTCCTTTTCAAATTCAGCCTACTGTTTTTTCTAAATCTAACCTAATACAACTTAATTTCTATTCTTATTTCAGCTATTAATTGAGTCCAAAACTTTAGAATTTGAAGAAGTACTTACCAAATTTAATCAAAAGATGAAAATTTTCTATCATCAACCAAATTCAAAACTGTTAATCCTAAGAAAGGTAAAAAGTTAAAATTAAAATAAGGCAATGACATTCAGTTATAGGATGAGTCTTTAAAGAGAGATGATATCTTGTAAGGTACATTGCATTGGACAGAAACCAGTAACTTTTTCTTTTATTGTTGTTGAATAAAATGACATTTCTAAGCCATCAAATCAGAGTTGTTGATTTTGAATTATTTGCCAGTCATTTTTAACTGAAACACTAGACTATTGATTTGGAAATATTTGCCAGCCATGTTTGAAAGAAGACCCAATAGATTGACAGTGACTCTCTCTAATAGTAACCATAGACTTGTTTTCAAAACCTTATAATAACCACTTTGTATCAAATCAAAATTGTCAAATAAAATAAGGTCAAATTCATTTCAAACAGAAGAAGAAAGCCACCAAAAATAATTCTCAATGTATAGTACACTAGCTTACAATGATGTTAAACCAAAAAAAGACAAGAAACGTGAAAAAACAGGAGAGTACTTACCTATTCTTGTTAATTTCAAAATAGGGTTGAAATCAGCAACAAAAAGTTTCTTCTGAATCCTAGCAACAAGAAGTGAACCCTGGGATAACTGCTGACTGAATGAAGCTCTTCACTGCTGTTGTCAACTGGACTATAACCCCTGAATTCTACTCACACCTTTGCTGGGGTTAAAATATATTTTTAGTCTCCATGTCCACAGTTTTAAAACAAAAGACTGACAATAGAGTGAACGCTTTTCATCCCTTGGTCATGGTTTTAATCTTTTATCTAAGATCAAATTGGTAATCAAGACTTGTTCCCATTGTTTATAATAAATACTGAGCTGACTAAATTCTTAGTACATTAATTTAAAGGTCCACAGCCATTATATTTCTTTAACTTTAAAGGACAGCAAATGGCTCATCATCCAATTACCTTCAACTGTGTTTCATTACTTATTAATAACCAATCTAGGCAAAATTTCCCTCATTGTACACTGGATTGCATTGCTCATCTCCATTATCCCATTATCTCTTTTTTCATTTCATTAATCAATCCAATTCTACCTTTTTTCGTATCCTAATGAACACTGAGAGTGAATGAAATTGCCAGGTAAGGTAACATATACCCACTGGAGTCAGTGTCAAGGGCAATAACTCAAAAATTGCTAAGCGAAATGGAGTTTTATGTCCTACTTTTCTGCATCATATGGGCTAATGGAGACAGGCAACGCCATGCAGTGTGCAATGAGAATTTTTGCCCTTACAGCAGTATGCTCTTTTTTCGAATTCCAGCTGCATCACTGACAGGGGGAAACCGGGTTGAAAAATTAGAAGGTATTATCTCGACCTATGCCTGGATGAAGCCCTGGACCTTTAGGTTAGCGATCAAGCAACTAACTCACTGAGCTACTGCAGCTCCTTCATAAATTGTTTAGTGTCAAATCACATCAAATTTCATAAAACTGTAGTCTATATTGCGCTTATGAAAAGATTTTGACTGGTCTTTGCTAAGTCAGGGGCAATAACTAAAAAACTCTTCATTAAAAAATTGTCACATCCGAATTTGACCACGATCTCATCAATACAAATGATTATTCCAAGTTTCATTAAAATCAATTGAAAACTATAGTCTCTATCAAGTTCACAAATACATTTTGACACATTTTTCCTTAAGTCAAGGGCAATAAATCAAAAACAGTTCATTGAAAAATCGTCATTTTCAAACATGACTAAGATCTCATCAATATAAATGATCACACTAAGTTTCAATAAAATCAATTATAAACTGTAGTCTCTATTGTGTTCACAAATGAATTTGACGCATTTTTCCTATATCAAGGGCAATGACTCAAAAACCTATCCGATAAAAACTGTAGTCTCCATTGCCTATTGAAATGTTGGCGGACCAACAGTCTGGGGCGACGGCAATATACATCTACATTTCCATATGAGTGTATAAAAAAACATTTAATTACTTTATTTTCTCACAACTTTAATTTTTACCATTTCAGATTATAATGCAAATAATTTTTGTTTAAGCGGTAAAGCCTGTAAGTAATTCAATCAGTAACAAGTTCCTCTTCTACACTATGTTTACCCACAAATGTTTCTAATCATACACTTTTAACAAAGAATCCACATTGTGTAAAAAGTTGTCTTCAAATTTAGCATCAGAAAATCTTTTCACTGATTCTCTTGCATTTTCAATAATATTTAATTTTTGTTTGTCACCGAGTTCAAATATTTCTGCCATTTTGGCTGAGTATGTTTCCTCACTGTTCGCTAAATATCCTGTTGGCAGACTGTTATATTCTGTTACAATATCTAATTTAGGTCCACCTGAATTGTGTGCTAATATTATTGTACCTGCTGCCATGCACTCTACCACACCTGAAAAGGAAAGAAAAGAAATATAGTTTGGATTAATGAACCCTTTTTTTCTAAAACAAAATAAGTATTATGATCAAAATTAAGTGTGATTTTCAGAATATTTTGTATTACGTAAAATCTCTCAGAGATCGAATAAACTCTGCATTGAAACAGCCAATAAAGTCGGACTTTTCTAAGACTGAAAATTTACTTATTACATACCTATTCCAAAATGTTCATTCCACATTGTATGTAACCCAACAGTAGAAATAGACAATAATCTTTTTAATTCTGTAAAACTGACATTGAGATGAAATTCCACATTTTCTTTTATTCCTAGTTCATCTGATAAAGTCTTTAATTCTTCAACTCTGTTGGAATCTCCTTCATTACGACAACTACCCACAAGCATCAATCTAAATTTAAATTTCTCCTGTTCAGGAAGCGACAATAAAAAGCTACTAAACGATTTAATTTGTAAAGGATGATCTTTTTCTGGTCTGAACTGAGCCACTGAAATAATGTTCAAAGTCTGTGAAGTATTTTTCGCGTCTGCTGGAATTGTCACAAATTCTGTAACATCACATGGAGGATAGACAATATTTGTTTTGAAGTCAGCTTTCCATAATGAATTAATATGGTTTAGTGTCCATGTTGAATTTACCATAATCACATCTGCACGTTTTCCAGCCACTCCATATAAATACGCAAATAATTTATAATATAATAGCTTAGCTTGACTTAACACCACACTTTTGGAAATGAAGGAAGCATTGTTGTAAGATTCCCGCCTTTCAGTGACTTTTTCCAACATGTCCGTACTAATGGTAGGATAATGAACATAACAACCAACACGACATTCTCCAAAATATCTAAACAGAGGAAGAGTAAAGGCATAGCCCATGCTGTCGATAAAAACATCAGGAACGAATGAGAGAAGGGCCTCACCACCCAACACTAGTGAGCCCAAACTTTGTCCTAATAAAGTGAAGAATGGATATTTATTGGCTTCCACCCATCCTCTCTTATTCAGAAAAACAAAATGGATGCCAGTTGGTAGTCTAATGTTGAATCTTTGACTAGCTTTATTAATAATCTCCTCTGGTGTAGCATCAATATCTCCTGTATACACAATACATCTTATATTGGCATGTCTGAAATATAGAAAATTTGTATCCAATCATTCTACTCAAACTACCATATAATTGTGAATATAGTGCGCAAGCATGTGTAATACACCCCCTCTTCTTACCCTCCAGTATTTCTGGAACAAATCAGTTGGCATAATGCAGATACCATAATATTGAGTGGTAATTTCCTGTATAATTTCTGGGGGAATAAAATTAGCTAAAAAACATGATTTTAAAGATTTATTGGCTCCTGCAAGTTGGCTTATTAAAACAATTCAATGCTAGATAAGAGTCAGCACTTTTGGAATTAAATATAATCAAATATAATAAACTGTAAATTGAGTTCTACCTACTTAGTCATAAGAGCTTTAATAGCTGTCCATAAAACTCTCTCACCACCACCTCCAGCATTGCAATAAGGGTGAAAAAATCCAACTGTCACAAGTTGTCTCCCTTCATTATCATTCAGTGGTAAACCAGGCAGACGTTGATTCTTTACTTGAGCAGCAGATCGTTTTAACAGATAGCACAGCAAAATAAACAGCAATGCAAACAGTGCACCAAACATCACCAATAAGTATGCCATATTTATCAACAGACTGAAAAAAGTAAGAAAAATAAAATTGCCAATAATTATCTAATATCACCAAGCATAGTGAACAATGTAGGGCTACAGTGTCAATTTTTCCTCTGAATAAAAGATCAACAATGCTACATGTAGAATTTAAGGAGGAAAATAGGCTGACCTGTCACCCCACCTTACCTTTGTTATGTGAGGCTTTGCCACTTCAACATTTTCATCAGGGTGATTTGTTGAATTGTGGGTTCCAATAATACTAAATTAAGCACACACTATAATGGTATCTCATTACATGTGATATCAAGCACAGCCAAAATGTGAAATCATGCAAATCAATATAGAACTTTGTCAAACAGTTATTATTGCATATCAATTTCCGGCCCAGCCCTCAAGATATCATGGGATACAATTTCCATTTAGATTCTGCCATTTGCATCTATCTGAGTGCATAGACAAGAATATAACAAAAACTGAGCTTATTAGTAATATGCTGCTTGCTTTCTGTGTTGTTTTTGTCATATTATATGCAATTCAACTTGGTGGAAGTCTGCTCTCTGATGGCAAATAGATCTATGCTTGGTACATAGCACTCAGACATAGTCTATGATATAGATATGTTTCTTGAACTTGGTTAATTAATTACCATGGTCATTTTCAGAATAATAAGGTAATTATCAGAATAGTTCGGACTAAGATTATAAATCAATTCGGAAAGCTGAACTGGCCTGAACTGCCAATATTACGGATAAACTAGGTCTGTGAACAAAGACCAACAAATTATATTTAAATAAATAACAGATCTGTGGTACAAACCATAATAATCTGTGTAAAATTTCGCCAACCATTCTGCTTATTGCAGGAGACGGAAGTTTACTTTCGTTTTGCCACGTCTGAAATTAAGAAGGTACATGTAGTACTCCGATCGTCAACAGACTACCGTTAATAGTACTTGTACAAATTTGAATCTTGAGGTTTCAAAACCAAGAAAACGAAGTAATTTTTTATTGTAAAGTTATATTGATATATCGATTTAAATATATATTGTCAAATGTATAAAGAATCGCCGCATTTAAGAAAACATTTTAAAACCAACAGAAAAGATCATAAAGAAACATAATACCCAGGTTTAACGTTTCGTTTCCTTTCATTACAATTGAAATATGTACGGTAGCATAATATTCTGTTTTCGATGTTGTCTATTTGAGCAATGGTTAAAATCGAAGACAGAGAAACTGACATTGTCCGAAATCTCTGGTCATATCAGGCGTGTGAAAGCAAAACAGATCTCGACCAACTATCATCATACCACTATTTTTGTGATAATTCTCATAAAAAATATAAATTTGTATTTGGAGATAATTGTTTTCAGCTTCGAGACACAGATATTGATGATATTTTATATTCTATGAAATATAATGTCACCAGGTCATTTTGAAGTTGTTCGCTAGTGCAATGTTTGCCAGCTTGTGTTTGGCCTCAATCTCAAAATAAAACCTATCTCAGTAATGTCAATATAATTATTATATTAGACGAAATGAGGAAATTAGATCATGAAGAAATATAAACAGTTTTGATTACTTCATATGTGTAAGTAGACTATCTGATTATTTTTTTTTTATCTTTTTTATACCACTGAGGCCTTTATATCATCATAATAATCATGTAAAAAATAAGTCATCTGTCATGTAATATTTCTCAATCTCACTCAAGTTTCTTCCTTTGTGGGCCAACCTGGCCCTACCCCAGTCCTCCCCTAATCATCTGGCTTTATATGAATATTATGATAATATTTCACCCTAATCATTAAAACATTGAAACAATGATAGCTTATAGGCCTATGTCTGTGTTATGATTGAGGAAAGAAAGAAATATATTTAAATGAATTACTTCCCTTTAATACATCAGAACTAGTGGTAAAGAATATCATCAGATATTTTCATACTTATTTATACAGAATTATGCCTAAAGTCCCTGGTTCGTTATATTTTGGGGGGGGGGGGGGGATCAATCCTACTGTGGATTCAAAAACAGGAATTATTCAGCTTAGCTAATCGGTTATAGCATTCGCAGCTCACCGTTCGGAATTTGAACATTCTTAGCCGGGTGTAATTATGTGTGTGTCGGTCGTTTTTTCCAAGATTTTCCAGTTGACTCAATCATTGAATCCCACTTCGCCTTTGCACAGCTGCGACGAAAGATGTCTTCAAGTTTTAGGATATATCCCAATTTTCAGAGAGAAGATAAGCTTGTGAACGAAATAAATAAAAAGTGAAATTTCTAGTTTGAGGTATATTTGAAGGAATTATGTGATATTTGTACAGTCCTTATAATGTGTAAGATATATTGAAAAGCATCAGCTGGAATCTGTAGGCCTACTTCTTGTAGGAAAATGTTTTGGGTGAAACTCTGACTTACTTTGGGTTTTATAGCTTCTTTGAAGAGAACCTATTCTTGGCCTTTTCTGTATTGATCAATGCAAGGTATTATCAAATTATAGACAAAAAAATAAAAGTTGAAACACGTATCATTTTCAGATGTAGTCAAATGTAGAACAAAAGATTTACAATTGACTCAAAAATATCTACTCTTGTATGTGTTTAGTATTGAATAGGTTTATGAATAGCCTATATCCTTTATCTCAAGTGTTCACATTTAAAATGGCTGAGTCATTTCTAAGATTATAAATCAAGCAATATGAAATTAAGATTTGACTATGAACAGTGAACATCTACTGTTTCTTATCTTAAGTAAACTTACAGGGTCACCTTGAATAGTATATAGGTGACTACATTAACCTTGTTTTATTGCCTTCATTGGTATGTATCTTATTTAAATGTTCACATTCTCTGACTGAACAGTCAGCCAAGGTTGAACTATTTCAATATAATAAACGACAATGGCTTAAACAAAACATTCCTCCGTCAATAAAACAATTTATACCTTTACATTTTCTCTTGCCAAACATAAGTTTTTTATTGCCAATGTTTTTCAAAATATATTTGTGTCAAATGTGTTTGTGTTAAATTTCCAAAATTGCAATTGATAAGTTACAAAATTTTGACAAGTTTTGACTTTAACCCTAGCTAATGAAATTTAAAGAGACATGTTTGCCATTGTACCTTAGTCTCAGAAATGGGATACTCAGAAATAGTGTTCACAGCCAACTGTTGAAATTTGGGCCTTCAATTCCATATGTGTCCAGAATTATTCAAGTTTGAATGTTAAAATGTTCTTGAGACTCCGCATAGAAAATACATATACCGGTAAGCTTATAGAAATAGAAAGTGAAATTTCTAGTTTGAGGAGGGGATTATGCAATTTTAATACACATCTAGTACTATTTACAAATATGGTAGATCCAAATCAACCTCGATAAATGATCTACCTTGGTTTGTACAACACAATTTTGAAATCTTAAGTTTAATTATAAAATCTGATACTATTTCTCAAATTTGAACAAAAGTTGAACTTTTTGTTGATTGTTTTAAGATTGATAGCAGCTTAATGGAGGATTAATTTTCAATAATAATAATTTATATAAGTTAATGTGAACATTTGTTTATATGAACAGTTGTGAAATGCCTTTGTTCACACAACTTTTTATAAGGAAGTTTTTGTTATCAATGATTGATGTATTAGATTTGTAATCACTATTTGTTGGGGGACCAAAAAACAGGATCTGAATTTGTTTTCTTTCTTTTTATGACCTAAACAATTTTATATCCTGTTCATAGTTCAGTTTTAATTATAGGTTTTATGTAAGAAATATATATTGTACATAATATATTGTATTCAGGATATTGTGATAGGTGTTTAATATTGTTACTTTTGCAATAGTGACATCATATAAGTTTAAAGGAGCACCTTCAATATCTGTTCAACCAATCATACTTTAGTTTCAGAAACAGGATTTTTTTTAGCTTACATAATCAGTAATAGTGTTCAAATCCATGTGTATCCATAATTATTCACTTTTGAAAGTTAAGAATTTGACTCTAATTTTAGTGAGACTATGCCATATATAGTAAACACATATATAGAAATAGACAGTGAAATTTCTAGTTTGAGGTATATTTGAAGGGATTATGCGATTTTGGAGGGTTTTAGTACTTCTTAAGACTATTAAAGACCCAAATCAATCCGAAAATGCCGACTGTTCCCCTTTAAACACTTCTATTATTACTGTATTTTGAGCATCTGTTTCATTTTTTTACCACATTTGCATTTGTGCATGTCCATTGAAAATACTAGAAATATACATAGGCATAAAATACCTTCAAAAACACCCCAAACATATCTCAAACTAGGAATTGTTCTTGTTTTTTCTATAATGTCTTTCTGTAGAGTTGTCTTCAAATTGAAGGCTCAAATTTGATGGTGAGCTGTGAACATTATTACTGATTAGCTTAGCTAAAAAATTCCTATTTCTGAGACTAGAGTATGATTGGTCAATAAAAATGTTGAACCTCTTTAATTTAACAAAAATGCGTATGCTTTAGTTTTGATTCAAATTATCAACTGAAAGCTCATATTCTGATAAGAAACAGTGTTATTGTAATCAAACAAGATATTAAAACTGTATAACTTTTGCCCTTACATTTTTTTGGATACCGGTATACATGTGTAAACCAAAAGTTAGAGTTTCATTCTGGAAGGTGATACACACAGCTGATATATAGCGTTATCATCCAAACAAATGTTAAAACTTCTATATCTGTTTATTTGGTAATTAATCAAGAGGGACATTTTAAAAATATTTAATAAAATGTTATTATGTAAGAGCTCATTAGGGTCATTGTGCATAATAGTGTGTGTTACTTTACATTTCCCTTGTGTAGGTTATATTTACCAGTTGTGTATTGAAGTCCTTATATTAATTAGGCTATAGGTATGACTTGAAAGCTTAGATTGATATAATATTCACTGTTAGTAGTACACTATATAGTCAATGTTCATATGAAACTGGTCATGCGTTCATAACATGTTCACTATAGGAA